TGAGGCAGAGGAACAGCTGGAGCCTGTTCCCAGTGTGTGCATAGGCAGGGCTGCCAGAAGACAAGAACAATTAAGAAAGCAGGGTCGACTCAGGAGTAAAGCCATACCTTGGAGGTGATTGGCCCCTCCCAGAGGAAACAAAAGAGGAGTGAACGGAAAGTGGGCTTTTGCAGGAAACAATTCGTTCCTTCGGTCGTTTCAAGGGTGGAAAGTTCTGTTTGTGCCTATAAGAGACTCTGTGCCAAGTTTTGCCTTGGAAACTAGTTATTTGGATTTGCAACTCGCCAAATGAGATAAGGTTCATGTTGATAAACAGTCCTCTGAAAGACTGTTTGCTGAGCCTTGCTGATTGTGAATGAAAGGAATTCACAATTGTGTAAATAAAAGGAGTTTTTGCCAGGACCAAGACTCTGCTTCTTGCTTGTTAAGGAAGCTTGGGTCAGAACACAACTGAGACCAAAATTTATGTTGATAAGTGAGACATTTGTTAAGTGAATTTTGCCCCATTTTACAACCCTTCTTGCCTTGGCTGTTAAATGAATCTCTGCACTGTTGACACACTGCTGTTGTTAAGTGAGTGACGCAGTTGTTAAGTGAAACTGGCTTCCCCATTGACTGTGCTTGTCAGAAGATCGCAAAAGATGATCACATGACCCTGGGACACGGCAACTGTCATAAATATGAATCAGTTGTCAAGCTTCTGAATTTTGATCATATGACCATGGGCATCCTGCAATGGTCGCTAAGTGTGAAAAATGGTTATAAGTCCCATTTTTCAGTGCCGTTGTAACATTGAACGGTCGCTAAATGAACTGTTGAAAGTCGAGGACCAACTGTAAATGAAAATATACATAAGCCTGGCAAGAAAAGAGTTTAGTTCAATTTTTCAGATGAGAAAAAAGAGACGATAACGCATATAAAAGCACAGAATTGGGCAACCCAAAATATAAGGGTTTGGAAATTCCTTGTAGAGCATTGTGGCTGAAAGGAGTGTTTACCGCCAGGATTAAGAAGTCAAGAAATCTTTGGGCAGGTGTCTGTGGGAGTTTCTTAGAAGCAGGATATCCTAAAGAACACTGTCGCAATCTATTCACATCTTCGGTGTGATTCAAGGTGCCTTTTTTTATGAAACAGGAACATTGTCAGGAGCTTATAGATGGACATCAATCTTGAATTCCTGTAACAATAGGGGCTGGGTTAAATCCGACTCTTCTACAGGAAGTCCTCGACTTAGAACAGTTTTTTTTAGTGACTGTTCAAAGTTACAACAGCAGTGAAAAAAATGACTCTTTTTCACAATTACGACCTTCAAGCATCCCCCATGGTCACATGATGAAAATTCAGGTGCTGGGTAACTGGTTCATATGTATGACCTTTGCTGTGTTACAAGCAGTTGTGGGTTTGCTGTCGGTTCCAACTGGTTCAGGCGAACAGGTAGTAGCAATCTGCAGATTAGGGTTAGGGTTAGAGTTAGGGATAGGGATAGGGATAGGGATAGGGATAGGGTTAGGGATAGGGATAGGGATAGGGATAGGGATAGGGATAGAGTTAGGGTTAGGGTTAGGATAGGGATAGGGATAGGGTTAGGGATAGGGATAGGGATAGGGATAGGGATAGGGATAGAGTTAGGGTTAGGGTTAGGATAGGGATAGGGTTAGGGATAGGGATAGGGATAGGGATAGGGATAGAGTTAGGGTTAGGGTTAGGATAGGGATAGGGTTAGGGATAGGGATAGGGATAGGGATAGGGATAGAGTTAGGGTTAGGGTTAGGGATAGG